GATTTCCCAATTAATCAATTAACAATAACTTTTTTATGTAGCTTTTATAGATTTAACTCGCACGAACATGATGTTAGTGAATATCCACATACCTGCCTCAAATTCAGGTAACAGTCTTCTATCAGTATTGCAAGAAACCCCGTTTTTTTAATTTGACATGGAAAAAAATGCATGTAATATTACTATATCATAATATAAGTCCCTTTGTTACTATTTGTATATTTGTTACAATTATAATAATAATAACAACGCAGTTTTGATATTTTTATCATCTTATGTTACTGACTACAGTAGTGACACAAACAGAACACATACAGTCATATCACATAACATTTACAAGTCTTGTAAGTCTTGTTTGTATTCAATGGAATTACTATTCTTACCAGGTAGGCATCAGTGAAAGCATTTTTTTTTCAAATTAAATATCTGGCCCCTCTTTTTACTTATGGACAGTGCATAAGATAAGTATGCAAAAGCAGTTTACAAAACATTCGCAAAAGATCTACTATATAACATAATCTGAATATAACATGACGTTTGCGTATGAATAATTTGGTAAGTTTTATGTAATTATTGCACTTTATGCGCGGAGCTTCTCAATTGCTGCATTGCAGCAACATTTGTACTGGTATGTTTAATTGGTCAGCAGATTATACTATACGTTAAACTGGTCAGCAGTTTTTCGTACAGTTCGTTAAATCGTCTGACCATAAACAAGACAAATAAATAAGAAGAAAATATGCCAAAAACCACAAAAGCGATTTGTGTTATATTTTAGTTTCTCAGCAGTGGTTTAATTGGTTTGCGAGAGGTGATTTTTTTATATTTTCTAACATTACAATAAATAAGAAATTTCTGACAAAATAACATATTTCTGGTCGACAGTTCTCACTGTAAATGTATCTAGTCAACAAATTTTACTATATGTTTAACCCTTTACCTCATATAGACGTGTTTTCACGCCTTTTCAACCCACCCCATTTTTAGGCCTCAGATAGTGAAAACAATGCCCTGTTTAATCCCCACACACTGGTATTCATTTGTGAAATGTTATTAAAAACGTGATCACATTTTTGGCGCCGCCTTCTTATCTAAAGGATACATCGGGGAGTGCCCTCTTCTGCATGGGGATTTGAAGGTAGATTGCCGCCCCAGTCAAATCTAAGAAAATTGTAGACTTGTGAGAGGCTCAAAATGGCATCAGGTCGGTCTTAAAGTAACGCGTGGCTGCGTGAAAAGCCTTAATTTACTCTATCCCATTCCTTTGAGACGTTGCAGCTAACACAACACAATATATTGATATGTCCCTTCGTTGCCATGTTAACACGGAAATTTAGATTGAGTTGCTTGAGATGTCATTACAATAAAATAAATAAAAACAATATTTATTTATTTATTTATATAGTCAATGCTATTATATTAGATATTGTGTCACAACATAACAGTCCTTTTGACATACGTTTTAGGAATGAGTTCAGGGAAATGTTTAAAGCGTGGTAAGAAAAGAAAAGTGTTTCCTAGATGAGTTTTCTAACTAGAAACACGAATTTTACAAAATTTTCTTAATTTAGAAGCTGACATGTTTTGCTACCATTATGGGTTTATAACAGTATCTTGTTGAATTTTAACGAAAAAGGCCACACCAGAAGTGCACGCCTACGCTAGTGTTTGCTGTTTTAGTGTGTTAGGGTGTGTGCAATTATAAATGATTTATAGTAAATTATATGTTATACCTGTATCACCGGTTTAAGATTTTTTTAATTATTTAAGTTCAATATTTTCATCAAAAATCTCTTTTCGATTGAAAGGTTCAGAAGTATACCAATATATTGCCACAGTTAGTACTACATCATGTAAACATCTCTGTAGATAAACCTTGTTATATTTTGGGAATATGACCGTTGCTATAAATGTCAATTATAAGTATTATAAGTATTTGGGGTACAATACATTTAAATGTGTGTGTGATAATACTTAATTGTGAATATTGTTTTCAAAGTCTCGGATAACAATAGTAGTAAACTGTCAACTATATCATCCTCTTCTCAAATGCTGAGCATTTTTTATCCTATAAAAAAAGAATGATACCTGTAAAGTACTTCAAAAAAATTTGCTTAAAATTTGGCTGGTTGAAATAGAGAACCGCTTACGACCTAAATATAGGACAACTTGGAATTAAATTTCATCTCCTCCTCATCCGCTTGACAATGTATATTTTAGGTTTTTTTTAACTTTACGGGATTATGGGAGGATAAAATGTTTATTTTATATATATTTATTTCAAACTAGTACTTCATTTTACCCTATAACATTAACCTTAAAAACGCAACAGAACATTGACAACCACTAATTTGTATATAATATTTATGGTACATACTTGTTTATAGACATAGGTTATGCCGTGGGAATGTAGTTAAAGTACTGAGATATTAAAGGTGGCAAATTCTGCATTATTTTATATACAATCAATAATTCAATATATATAAATCACTTTTGTCATGTATTATTTCCAAATTTGAAATTAATTTTCAGCTCCTATAATTAATTAGATTTGTGAATATTATCTTTTATCATGGAGGTGACTTTTAAGTTCTGTGTTAACAAGGTGCTCATAAGAATTAGTTTTATTTCAAGATGTAAAAATGTGTCTGTATCAAATTTACTTTAGTGAAGCATACAACACCTTTTATCACATAGGCAATCAAATATATTAAATAAATTGGAATATATTCGTTTTATAGCTAGACATAACATGATCAACAGGGCTACCGCTGTCAGAAATTACGGAAATACTCGTATTTTACAAACGTTTACGATCGTTAATTTGACTTTATTTAAAAATTCAACAGTGATTTAAAAACACTTCTGCGACAAGGAAATTAGCCAGCCTGGTTTTTATAGCGGAGTGATTTACAAACTTCAAAAGATTTTGGGTCATAATAATTCTTCTGCTGTTTTTTTTCTCTTAAAAATTAAACGTCTTATTTAAAAGAGGTTATGTCCCTTCTATTTTAAGACATACTGCATGCTTAGTGTTCAACCCTTTTACAGTTGGACACTACGCTTTTCTCTTTTGATTACATCTGACGAACCAAGTGGGATACTCTACATAATGGACAGTTCTTAAGGCCCTTTGTGACTGAATTGCCTTAATGTTCGTCTTCTGTCTTGCTTCGTCGGGCCCTTGTAGGTGATTTTCTTGTTGCTCTGTATTCCTTTAAGACATTAAGTACTTTTGTTATGGCCATTTAGTTTTCTTTTATATGTTTCTAGACATGATCATTTTGGTGTTTTACTTATTTCACCTTTTGTAACTATGACAACTGTAAGAATTTCAGTCGGCATGGATTCATTTTATTTACACGGTATCGTTTATAGGAACATAGTGGGGCTAAGTATGAGGTTTGGTGCACCATTAACCGGTTTTAAAACCCCAGTAGTACTTATGCCGCTGACCGTTCCAGGGCGGCGCCCCTTTGTGTTCCTGAGATGTATGTCTTGTTGTTTCATACTGTTTGGTGACACTTTTGTTTATGTCCCTTGTTGTTTTCTCGTCTTCGGTAAGTACCTTCCCTTTAACCCCTAATTGTGCTTCTTTATTTCGCCCCCCTCCTTCCAACTCCTTATGTAACATTTTAGTGATAAGCATTTACGTGCTCTCCCTTGCGCCATTTCCTGTTTTTGATTTGGGTCCTCCTAGATTCCTTTTAGTTCTTGTTACTGAATCGTGTGGGAGTTGCGTTCATTGAACGCCGTCTTTCCTTTTTGGTCTTGTTTATCATATTTGTACACATTGTTCAAAATATGAACTTATTGGCAATTCGCTACGTTTTATTACCATGAATAAAATATAAAAGAAAGGTAATGAACGAAAGGCCGCGATTAATGAACGCAACCCCCACAAGACCCAGCAACACAGAACCCCAGGCAAGGAGCCAAAGGACACCAAATATAAATAGGGCAGGGTACAAGGCAAAGCAAGGATTGGGTAAATCCAAGTCAAATTGTACTTTTTTCTGTTGAGTATTTAGGATGATGTTAATAAGTAATCAATTAATAATCTATTTTCTATATAACCAGCATACTAATTAGTTCAACAGGTTCAGATTTAATATCTGGAAATCCCTCGGAAGCACAGAAAATACACTTTTTTAATATATACTGAAAATTTTCTCACCCTTTCTCACTTTTGTAAGAATGAGAAAAAAATCTATATGTTTTATATCTACTTTATGTTTACGAGGGTTGTCTAATTTAACATGTGTTGGCCATTGATAATAAACCGTTAAACGCTGTAATCTACAATCAATAAGTAATTTATTTTGCATATAAACAACATGTTTATTTATTATCTACCAGCAGGTTCAAATTATATATCTAAAAATGGGTAATCACTTTGAAGCGCTCAACATTTGAGATAGATACCGAAAATGTCCACATTCACGTCCTCTTTTCTTTTCATCAGACTGGCATAAAATTATCTTTTAATATATTTTTTTATAAATTTTATGTTAGCTATGTTTAAAGGTGCTCCACTGAGGTTTAAAAGCCTTAAAACATAATATTTGAATTTCTAACATGAATGATCTGGGGCACCATACAGAAATGTATGCAAAGATAGTTAAAAAATATACCTTAATATAAATGAAAAACGTAATATTATGCTTTTCATAGCTCGATTGAAATGAAAAGCGTTTAAACGCTTTTCGGTTTTGGGTCATATTTTACAATATCTTTTATATATTTCATATACATTGTATGTTAGCTATCATTCAGTTCGCCATATTACATAAATCTTTATTTTTCATGGCGTCGCTGCACTGATATTAAGTTCTTTTCAATCCATGCCGGCGATATTTTAGTATCGTATTTATATTCAAACAAATAAACGCCATAAAGGGTTGTCCTATTCACTAAATGCGCAACGATTGGTCGATTTTTTTATACAATAAAGTCACGAGGAGGTAGTTTTACATCCAATTGCGAACGTTTCGAAATACAAAAATACAATAACGAGGTATAAATTACATGTTAACTTGAAGGATGTAAACCTTCTCAAAAGCCATTACATTGGAGACACGTCAAGATGGCTGCAGAGAGCCCAGGATAAACATTAAACACTAGGGAGAAGAACTTACGGTATGTTTATTTTAATCAGAAATATACGCATTTTGTGATGAAGTTAATATAAAGATTATAAAAAATGAAAGGCTTACCTGAAAGTTAACATTTGAATGCTTGAGGAACAGAAAAGAGACGATAATAAGAATAAGGTATGTATATCTACATTTCTTTACAACTTATGTAGTATCATTTCTGAATTAACCTACGTAAGTAGTCTTGACATGAACATTTAACAACTTTTTAGGGATATACTCATACATATCTTGGTTTGCCTAAGGCATGCAAAAAAGTTTTGTTTGAATGTTTTTGTCTGCAAACAATTGCATATGACATTAAACCGGTGAATATCATATCATATTCAAATGGTTGATAGTCAATAATTGTAAAGTATAAAATAACAATAGTTATAGTATAACACGATTTCATAGAATAGTATTGACTATTTATTGATATAAGTCAGTGGATGTTTTATGAATAGAAGAAATATCTTTATAGCCATATCGACCCATACATTAAAATATTTACCGGGAAGGTAAAGGCTACTTCAGCACAAATAGAGGGAAAAACTCAACATTACAGCGATACTTTCACTGCTCATTCAAAGGGTATTCAAAAAATTATTTCTAAACCACTGTTGTCAAGGTAGATTGTATATCTTTATAATTGACGAGTTTATATAGTTGCAGTGTAAGTTCTTCGGAGAAAAGCCCTTATGGGACAAGGGTTAAGGTGTTGTTGCCCTTTAGATGTTAAGATTATTGTGAAAGTTTACCTAATGAAATTTTAAAATATGTTGGAAAGAAGTTTTGCACCCCAAAAGAGAACTCAGCCGAGGTTACACAGTATTTCAATTTTGCACGGGAAAATATTTGAAAAATTTGACTGCTTTATCATATTTGCAAATTGATCTTTGGTTGTCTTTTAATATGTATTTTACTGTCAAACCCCAAACTGTAGATTTGCCTACTTTTTACTACATTTTCATTTTCCTCTAAAAAAATCCGTTGTAGTATTAAATTGCAGGAGTATCCGTAAATATTTACACCGTGTTGTTATTGACCAATTAAAGCCACACGCCTAAATATGAGCCAATGTATTTTATTAAAATCAAACTTGGGATAAATGATCTAATAGTTTCGGAAAAAGATAAAGATTCAATATTCAAGTAATAATTTATCTTATGTGCGATTAATGACTGATTTTCTGTATGTATAACACTATTTCTACTGCGTTACTAACAAAGTAAGGGCTATTTCTGCATATTTTGACCTCTTTTCGGTAATTTACGTGGGTTGCAAGTGCCATTGATAATGTGTACATTGCTTCCTATATGTCACTTCTCAAAATTATACTTTTAGATACATTCTTCTCCAAATAGATCCCTTGTAGTATTAAATTGCTGGAGGATTGTAAAGATTTACACTGTTTACACGGGCGTGTATTATCAATGAAGGTCCATTTAAGTAGTACATTTCTACTAGTATTTGATCAGGAATAACAGAGCCACCCCGAAGCACATGTAAGCCTGCTCTGCGTTTAGGACTAACAGTGAAAGATTATTTTGTGTTCATGGGAACGACCAAGGACATTCTTTATTATTTTTAAACTTTTTAATCTATAATCCTTGTTTTCAGTGTTTTGGTTTTCAACACCCTCATTACTCTGTCTTACTACTTTGTTTACATGTTTATTTTTAATTCTTACAAAATCCCGTTGATTACACTTATTATCAGATTAAAGATTCTGAAAAATGTCGCTTTTCGTCGTTGGAGGTCTCCACAAAATGAATTACAAAAAGACATATACTGTAATGTAAATCTAGCATTAAGGTTCATGAAATCAAGAGATAGTTGTCTTCACTGTACATTTTGGTTTTAATGATTGTTATACTTCTAAATCATACCGTCTGATAATGTCTCAACGAGCCTGTAGTCCATCAGAATAAGTAGCACAATCATGAACCTTTATCATTGTTCACTTCAGTACATTGCTTTGATATATCTGAACAAAAAATAATAAGTAATTCAGAGCTTCTATTTGTGTCTATTTCTCCCGGCTGGTAGTAATCACATGCATCAACGTTTGGCTTAACATTTGATGTCAGCCTTAGCCTAGTTTGTTTCTGCTTATGTGTGAGCAAAGAAGAGACATAACGCACATGAATATAAGGTTTTCGCGTAATATATGTAATACCTGCATCTTTTGCATATATATGGTTAACTTTTATTAATCAATGGTGTTGATGGTGTGACATATCCAAGTGACTAGATTCCATCATTTATACCCGGTCAACGCCTGCTATATGCCAAAACTAATACAGAATAAATAACACATGATGACAAAAGGACGAAAGAAGACATAAAAAAGGGAGGCTACGGGGCACGCCATCCGTCATGTTATTGTTAGGTTGCCTGAATATATGAAACTCGAAACCAGTTTGTAGGCTACTGTGGGTTAAACAGTATTTATAGGAAGAAGCATTAGCTCTTTTGTTCAGGACGATTTCTACATATGTTTCAATTCAAAATTGAATAACTGTTTAGCATATTCTTAGCATTTTTGAAATGGTAATACTTCCAAACTTTAAATGAACCTTAAAACATTCTTTCAATATTGTCTCTCGAACCGAGACAAATTTCTACTACGTTCGTTATATTTGAAATAAGCTTGATAAAGAAAGAAACGGCAAAGAATACGTTGTGTTTACGCAAATAAAGCTTAGTTAATAAAGACGAAGTGTGTACTCTGTGTTTGGAGAAAGCTTAATAAGAAAGGTAATTGCTATGACCGTTTTTCTTTGAAAACATACACAAAAGATTAAGGAAAATGTTGCAAAGTTTTGATGACGAAGATTTAAAGAACATTTTAAGAAGAAAGCAAATGTAACGAATGGGTTATATATTTACAGATTTGAATACATGTTTGGACAATATATATTTACATTTCGGTCGGTTTTTCTTCAAAGAGATAATAAATAAGCATTAATATCTAAATAATTGGTGCTTTTTTCGTTTGAACAAAGTACATGGACCAATGACATGTCTGTTTGTTTAAAATCGCGAGAAATGTTTTGCGAATAAGAACATTTAAAGGATAATATTATTTTTTGTACGTAAATCGATCAATTAGACAATAAACTTGATCAGTCCGCTGAAATACAAAACCTTAGATCGCTCAGAGGAAGTATGATATATGCTTACCTTTCCTTTAATGAATCCGAGTTTTGCAAAAACTCTAATTTGTACACGTATAATCACTACAAATGGCACGTGATTGAAAATTTTAAACTCTTGTTTTGTACACTTATCTATGTACGTTTGCTTTGTAACTTTTACATTTCGAATACAGTGTAGCACTACAGAATTATGTCGGTAATCGTTAAACGTTTATAACTTAACCAAACGAGTTATTTGTGATTTTTTTAAGATACGCTCACTATATTAAAGTATATGAAATGTATGTATTTATTACAGCATATTTCTGGCGCTTTTTGATGTCTTTGTTGTTGTAATAAACTACGTGTCTTGACAAGTAAAATGTAATATAAAGATTCAAAACCAGCAACCTCTTCTGTTATTCAAAAATACCAAATCATGCATGAAGTGCGTGAAACCGCCAATACACATAAAAATATACTATTTGTAAGATAAAATGTTATTAACATATTTCAACAACTTACATTGTGCGAAAATATGGCTGTTAAATGAAGCCACTAAGCTGAAGAACGAAGAAAATTGTATAAAAAAGAACGTGCTATGATTGTGTTAAATATTAACAAAAATAATACACATATTAAGACAAAAAAAAACATTTATTGGTCTGTATGCATGATTTTAAAACTTTACACTGAAACCGCCCATTAAAGTATTTATACAAGTACTTAGACGCAAAACATACCATTACTTTGTAATCTTTCGTGGAAATTTCCTCAAATAAGTATTTATTGCGACGGACGCGCCCTCAGGCGCGTTCAGAGCTAAGTCATCATACATGGGATTTCGTCTGCTACAATCGCGCAAAGTGTCCTCAACCGATTAAAAACCCAAGAAATAGTACATGAATTTTATCCTTTTAAACTCCCATACTTTGTCGGGATATCTTAAAATAGTCCATTTTTAGCCTTTTCAATTTCAAATTAAGTTATCCAAGTTAAAATATGAACGTAAATGATTGTTAAAAACGTTGTAGTCCCGTAGTATTATTGCGCAATATGCAAATTACTGCCGAAACGATTTACCGCTGTCGAAAAAGTAGGACAGCAAATTATACTATAATAAAGGTGTAAGCTCTGAGTTCCAAGAAATTATTAGTAGGAAATAAATATTTCTACATTATACAAATCAAAAGTTTTTCGTGACTCAAGAATAACTCGCGCATTAATAAAAGAAGAACTATTTTCGTGACTCATACCGACGGTTTAGCTGAATATTCAGCAGTTATTAATAAATTAGATACAGTACAATGATATGGTTAGTATAAATATCTATTTTTGAAAATGCATCAAGGGAGTTTTTCAACACTTTACCACAATGTAGTCTTTATAATATCAGTTCTACTTCCGATTCTTGTGTTTTGTTTACATATTTTTCTAGGTCACGATATTAGTTAACCTTTGCTATTCTAAAATGATTTTGCTTCACCTGTGCTGATTTTCGGACAGGCGATTAGTACATGTATTAAACCAGCGGATACTTACTTTGTTTACATGCAATACTTTTAGAAATTCTATACAACTGTAAGAAGCAAACAAGCTGAAAATGGAATTTAGAGTGAAAATGAAAAGGACAACTAAACACCGTAGTGCTTAAGTGACATTTAAATTAAAATAAAAACGATTTGCTCTGGCCCTTGTAAATAAAAAAAATCTAAAGACATACACTATTAATTGCTGATGATTTTAAACAAAAATATTGTTAATGAGACATATCCAAGAGAAATAAAAATACAAATGACTTATATTTTATTGTCTATATGCCCACTATGTTTTAACACGAAGCTTTTCTAAACAACATTCT